GTAAACTATAACATATCTTTATTATTTTTGTTTTGTTATGTGAATTTTTTCTTTGTTTATACTACAAAAGTTTAATGGAATCAAATACTTTGTTTTAACTTGAACTTTTAAAATTGTTAAAATAACTTGAACTTTTAAATTTGGTTACAATAGAAGCTTAATATGTTTATTTTAAGAACATAAGTACATTCATAGGTGGTTATACGTAAGTTAATATATTTCAAGTGGAACCAACAATTCCACAGACTATAAGAATCAAACATTAAATACCAAAGTAGTCTAAGATCGCTAATTCCAGGTCAGAAGGACAGTAGGGCCGCACTTGGCAAGTGCGGGAAGGGTCACTCGGGGTTTTGTAGATCGAGTAGTATGTGCCGCAAATACGGCAAGGAGGGGCATTTTGCGAGGGATTGTCGTCAAACGGCCCTGGTTCAGGATTTGAGGATCTGCTACCATTGCCATCAAGTTGGTCACGTGAAGACCAACTGTCCGCAGCTCGATGCCAAGCCGGTGTAGGCTCCAGCGCTGGCAACACTGAGGATTACTGACGGGAGTCAGAGTAGAGCAACACCCCAGAGAACCCAGGGATGCGCCTTCCAGCTTACAGCAGATGAGGTTAGGGCAGCACCAGATGTGGTTGTTGGTGTGTTTCTATCCTTTATCATACTTATTATATTTGTTTTATGCTTATATGTGTTGTACCATGATAGGTACATTCTTATTGAACTCCTTACCTGCTTTGGTATTGTTTGACTATGGGGCGAGTCAGTCGTTTGTCTCTCATACATTTAGTAGGGAGTTCGGTGTGCCAGTAGGAGAGCTTGAGTGTCAGTTGCAAGTCTTTATCGCCAACGAACATGGGGTTTCATCCTCTTTAGTTTATCGGAGTTGCGTGTTGGAAATCTTTGGGCTATCTTTCCCGATATACTTGATTCTGATTCCCATGGGGGGATGTGTGTGTGATTATGGGTATGGACTGGCTTAGTCGCTTTTGTGCCATGATCGACTGCGAGGGTCAGCAAGAGGTGATTCAAATCCCAAGTAGGGGAGACCTGGTCATCTACGGTGAGGGCACCAGATTGAGATCAGGGTTTTGTTCGGCTACCATGGCACGACAGTACATTCAACACATTTGTGCAAGTTATTTAGCGTATGTGGTGGATATGCGGGTCAAGGATCAGATTTCAGTTTTAGAGGTTCCGGTGGTCAGGGAGTTTGCCGACGTATTTCCGGAGTTCCTCCAGAGAGGCAGGTCGAGTTTAGGATCGACCTAGTGCCAGGTGCGGCCCCTATCGCCAAGGCGTCGTACCGATTGGCACCATTAGAGATGTAGGAGCTGTCAACACAACTGCAGGAACTACTGGGCAAGTAGTTCATCCATCCGATCAGTTCTCCGTGGGGAGAATCCGATCAGAGATGACCTAGAACTCCAACTCATATCGATGTCTATTAGCATAACTATTTTGCTGACTCTGAGATGTGTGCAACCTCTATCTGATCTACTGAATATGCTCTGTTGTCTTGAGTACTACCTCGATCTTTCCCATGACCCTGTAACTAAACTCTCCATCGCAGACTAGGGTACAACACTTCCTCCCATAAAGATGCTCAAATGGTGGTGCACCGATACTGGAGTGATAGTTGTTGTCGTATGAAAACTTAGCCATAGGAAGGTAGGAATCCCAAATCCCACTGAAATCTATCACACAGACTTGTAACATATCCCCATGTTTCTGAAAAGTCCTCTCGCTCTAACCGTCTGTCTGTGGATGATAAGTAGTGCTAAAGTGGAATATCATACCGAGTTCCTCGTGCAAACTCTGCCAAAAACAAGAAGTGAACCAAACATCTCGATCAGACACAATGGAAACTGGAACACCATGTCAAGCATCAATCTCGCGCACATAAACATTGACCAATTTCCCGGCTGAAGAGCTCTCCCGAATGGCTAGAAAGTAGGCACTCTTAGTCAGACGATCCATTATAACCCAAATCGCATCCAACCCCTTAGCGTCCGAGTTAACTTGGTGATGAAATCCATGATGATTTATTCCCATTTCCATATGGGAACCTCCAAAGGCTGAAGCTTTCCACGTGGCCTTCGGTGCTCGGCCTTGACCATCCGATATGTCAATCACTTCTCAACATACCAGGCTATCTTCCTTTTCATAAACAACCACCAATAACTAACTCGCAAGTCCTGATACATCTTAGTAGCCCCAGGGTGTATAAAAAATCTAGACTTATGTGCATCCTCCAACATAGTCTGTCTGATTCCGCCAAAATCTTATAACACTTTATTTTATTTAATTCTTTCTCAAAATGAATATAAATGTTATTATATATATATATATATATATATATATATATATATATATATATATGAGTGTTCAATTGAGAAAAAAAAAAAGGTTGAGATTGGGGGAATCATTCTCAGTCAATCATTTATTTTTGCCGCAAAAGCCTCCAATGTACCGGCGGAAATGGGAACGGAATGTACATGTGTTTTCCAACAAAACATATTTCCTTAAACTATGCTAATCATTACCTTAATATGTACAAAAACATAGTTTTTTTTTTTTTTTAATTTTTTTTAATTTTTGAAGGAATTATTTTTATCAAAAAATAATTTTAAATATATCAAAATTCATAAATTTTTACTCTCTATAAATAGACATCTATATTGATATAGTTTTAAGATAAAATATTTTTTTTTTATTTTATAGTTTCAGCTTTCGTTATTTATAAGTGAATAAAACGAATCAGTTTTTAGTACAATACATTGTTATTGACTTATGAATAAAAAGTATGATATATATATATATATATATATATATATATATATATATATATATATATATATGTATGTATATATATATATATATGTATGTATATATATAAGAGTGTTTAATTGAGAAAAAAATGTTGAGAATGATGGAATCATTCACAACTAATCATTTATTTTTTGCCGCAAAAGCCTTCAACGTACCGGCAGAAATGCGAAAGGAATGTACATGTGTTTTCCAACAAAACATGTTTCCTTAAACTATGATAATCATTACCTTAATATGTACAAAAACATAGTTTTTTTTTTTTTTTTTTTTTTTTTTTTTTTTTTTTTTAATTTTTGAAGGAATTAGTTTTTATTGAAAAATAATTTTAAATATATCAAATTCATAATTTTTTACTCTCTATAAATAGACATCTATATTGATATAATTTTAAGATAAAATATTTTTTTTTATAGTTTCAGCTTTCGTTATTTATAAATGAATAAAAACAAATCAGTTTTTACTACAATACATTGTTATTCACTTATGAATAAAAAATATAATTAACTTTTTTAACAGTTTAGTATCATTCATATGTGAATATAGTATATATTAAACATAATATATTCATATTTAAATATTAGACGACACATTCACTTGTGAATATTACATAGTAGATTCACTTGTGAATGTTAGATGATATATTCACTTATGAATATTAGATGATATTTTCATATGTGAATATTATATAATATTACATGGTATATCAGATGAGAATAGTACATAGTATATTCACTTGTGAATATTAGATCGTATATTCACTTTTGAATAATAGTTGGTATATTCATGTGTGAATATTGCACAATATATTCATATATGAATATTGTACAATATATTCATATATGAATATTACAAGGTGTTTTCAGAAATATATATAATTTTTATATGTTATTCACATATGAATAACATACAGACTTGCATATTTGTTTTGTGTTTTAATAATCACATATTGATTCAGGTGAGAAAACATATTTATATGTAAATATAATGTGATAATTTAGTTTATTCATTTATCGAATAGTTGGAGTGCATACAAGTTAACTTTTTTAAAAATGTGATAGATATGATACTTTGACTATTTAAATCTTACAAAATAGTAGATTGACAGAGAAATATATGAAAATTTTCAAACAAAAAATGATTTGATATTTTTCTAACCTTAATTTCGATGTTTTATTTGATGATCGAAGTTGAATGAATGATACGAATTGAATTTTTTGTTGATTATCGATGATGTTGTTCTAATGATGCTGGGAGTATAATTAATCGTAGATGTTGAAGATATGTTCATATTAAAGCAGAATTGAAGGTTGGATTGAAAGAGCAAAAAATGAATTTTTGTTGTCAACACGTGTTATTGACGAATATCGATGATTGATTAACACAGGATGACATTGATCGATGATTTAATTGAAGAAATCTAGATGATTGTTGAAAGTTGGAAGAGAAATTTGGATGATAAACGATCTATTAGAATGAATTTCAATTGTAATCTAATTCTTTACACTTACGTATTTGTGATTGAAGGCTATTATATCATATTTACAAGTTTGTCACTGTGTCCTTTATGTTTAGAGGCTAATTAAATGAGTGGCTAAGAATGATTCTCCTATTCTCAACCTTCTTTATTTTCTCAATTGAACCCACTTATATATATATATATATATATATATATATATATATATATATATATATATATATATATATATATATATATATATATATATATATATATAGGGTTAGGTTCATGTGAGACCACTTGATTTTGTGAGACGGGAAGACCAAATCTTGACCACTCATCCTAAATAATCAAAGGCTAATATTAATTCAGATTAAACCATAAAATAGGCGGTGGCAATTTTGTAAATTAATGGAACTTTGGGATTAGATCAAGACACGAAGGGGCATTAATGGAATTTTGCATTCTTTTTCTTTCAACACACAAAAACAAACACCCGGTACGCACCCTAAAACCCATTTGATCCAAATCGCGATCATCGTTCTGCTTCCAAAATCTCGATCATCGTTCTGCTTCCAAATCTCGATCATTGTTTTAGACTCTAATTCTGATTATACCTGAAATTCATCTTCCGATTATTACACGAAAACCACTCGGTAATCAACTAGAACATTAAAAACATTTCGATTTTGAATTTGATATCGAATCAAATGGCTCATTCTACAGATTCTGATTCTGATTTTGTATCAACAGCTGTTCCAAGTAAGTATAATACTACAAACCTCTTGTTCTTACACAATAAACCTATCTGTTCTTATTATAGAAAGTTTTTTCACTTTAAATCGTGTTGTGTATTCAATAAATGTGTAATAATCGAGATAGTTCACTAACTATTTATATTTCGAAGTCAGTATGTAAAGGAATATAGCATTATAAAGCATACAATCTAAACCTAAATCTCAGTGTGTGATTTATATAGAGTCTATGTATCTAAATGTTAATTGTACAGAGTGTTCTAATTATTCCCCCATTTCATTTGATCTAAATATTCTTAATCAAAATCAGCAAAGATGTTATGTTATTCTAACTAATTGTTCATCATTTAATTAGATTTCGATCCATAAATTGTCTAATACTATAGATTTTGGTAACACAAATCTCTTATTATGATTGTAGTATATTGTTTAGCCAAAAAAATCTTTGTATTCTAGTGAATTTTATGTTGATTGATAAATAGAAATTTGTTGTTATGTATTTATAGAACTGTGACAGATTATATATCATAAACTAATATGAATTCTAATGGAATTTGATGTTATTGATGCAGCTAAAAAAGTGCAAACAAATGCAACTGTAAGAAAAACAGGGAAAGAAATCTATATCGATATAGGTATAAATTGTGATTACTTTTGGATTATATATTATAATTGCTTTTATTAACCTTTAAATGCTTTTAATAAATATTCTAATTGTTTTTATTTGATAATTTTCTTCATACAGATTCAACAAGTCAAGATAGGGTTAAAAAATGTATGAACACCTTTTCTTTCAAATAATTCATAAAAAAAACAAATGTTTGGATTTATTTTTCTAATTGATTTTAGTTGTAACTCAAAAGAAAAATAAGACAAACCTTATGTTGATTGATAAATAGAAATTTGTTGTTATGTATTTATAGAACTGTGACCATATTATATATCATAAACTAATATATTCTAATTGATTTATTTTTCTAAGTTAGTTATTCTGAATATTCTAATTTTGTTTTATCATGTATTCTAATTGATTTTAATTGTTAAATTTCATGACAAAAGATTTGTAAATTAATGGAATTTGATGTTATTGATGCAGCTAAAAAAGTGCAAACAAATGCAACTGTAAGAAAAACAGGGAAAGAAATCTATATTGATATAGGTATAAATTGTGATTACTTTTAGATTAAATATTATAATTGCTTTTATTAACCTCTAAATGCTTTTAATAAATATTCTAATTGTTTTTATTTGATAATTTTCTTCATACAGATTCAGCGAGTCAAGATAGGGTTAAAAAAGGTATGAACACACTTTCTTTCAAATAATTCATAAAAAAAAAAAAAAACAAATGTTTGGATTTATTTTTCTAATTTTGTTTTATCATATATTCTAATTGATTTTAATTCTTAAATTTCATGATAAAAGATTTGCAAATTGTAAATCAAAAGAAAAAGAAGGCAGATGAAGGAAAATCAAAGAAAAAAAAAAAAAAAAACGTTGTTACTTCTGAAAGCGACTCCGATTCTTCTTCTGATCATCCTCACATCATAGAAAAAGAATTAAAAAAGGTATCAACAATCATTCTTTAAAACACTTATTCTAATTTTCAATCATTCTTTAAAACACTTATTCTAATTTTTTGGATTTATTTTTTTCGGTTGATTATTATGAACATTCAAGTTGATTAAAATAAATATTCTAATTTATTTCAATTTTTAAATTTCTTCATACAGCTAAAAATACAAAAAAGAAGAAAATACTTGAAAAGAAAAAAAGACACTATGTTTCAGATTCTTCATCTTTACAGTCAGAGACATCAGAGTCAGAGACATCCACAACAGATAGTGATGAATATGGTAAAATATGTTGTCTTTTATAATATATATGTTGACATCCAATAAAAGTATATTATATTTTTCTAATAGAATAATTATTGATGCAGATAAAGTAAATAAAAAGAAAAAAAGAAAAGTCAAAAAACATTTCAAGCGCCACAAGAAATTAATCCATAATGATGTGAAGCACAAAAAGAAAAAACATGTTTCTGATTCTTCAACAGAATCAGAGACAGAATCATACACACATTCAACGGGTAAAATAATCTAAACTTTTTTTTTTCGTGAAATATGATTTTATACTTTACAATTCCAATATTATGGAACAATATAAATATTAGAGTGTTTCGAAGAATATTTTTCATAGACTATGTTTGACATGAATTACTTATGGATCATAATTGAAAACTCTTGGTATTTTGATGTGAAAATATTTTTCTATTGTTTATTGATGTGAAAGTATGTTTCTATGATATTACACATTCTATATATTATTATATCATAAATCATGTTATACTTGATTTTTTTGTTGTTTTACTTAGCTGATATACGATTTTGCAAACATTTGAGTTTAATTTTTTATAAATAATATAATTTGAATAAATATCTACATTTTACTTGGATGATATAGTATTTTTGGATTAAATTCCGTAGAATATTCTGATATAATAAGTCTATATGTATAATATTCTGTTTGGAATATTACTTTGTAATTAAATGAAATATGATTTTTGGATTTTTGTGGGGTTACTAACATCTATGACTGATGTAATGAATTAGATGATGAATCTGATGAAGAAATCTATGTAAAAAAGAGAACCAGTGATAGAAAATATGTTGAAGGAGTGACAAAGATTAAAGAAGCAAAAAGGAAGAGGAATAATAGGGACAATCGTGCAGCAGTAAAGAAACAAAAAACCGTGAAAGAGCAAAAGACTGTGAAAGATATATTGAAGGAGTTGCCTTCAATAAACACTAGATCAACACCTGGATTGATGACAGATGCTGTAAGTTCTTTGACATCAGAACAAAAAGATTGGGTGAAACGGATGGGATTTAAAGCCTTTTTGAAGATCAACATTAAGAGTATTCCCTTAAAACTTTGCCATTTTGTGCTTAAGCATTACGATGAAGGCACAAACAGTATTCTGATTAAAGGAAAAAGAATAAAGATCACAAAGGAAAAAATTCATAAAGTGTTTGGTTTACCCAAAACTGGAAAAAGCTTATTTGATTTGCACAAGGTTAGTGAAGATCATCAAGTGTTTGATGGATGGATGAAGGAACTTGAAGGGTGGAAAGGCAAATGCAACAAACTACAAGAAGATTATTCAAAAATCCGAACAAGTGGATTTGAATTTCAAGCTGGGTTTCATAGCTTTATTTGTTAATACGTTTGCAGAATCCATTCCTATGGGGACAAACAACTTAGTTCCAGTTAGAGCACTTGTTGAAGTAGATGACATCTCTAAAATCGATTGGTGTGCATATTTATTGTACTGTGTGAAAAATTCAAAAGGGAGATGGCATCCAGACAACCCCAAGTGTTATTATATAGGCCCGATGTTGTTGCTATTGGTATGTTTTTTCATATACTTATTTTTTTTTTCTTAAAAATGGATATCTAATATGATGTTGAAATAATGCAGCTAATTTACTGTGATGAAATTGAATGCAAGCTCCAAAAAATAGAACGTAAAACACCATTAGTTACGATGTGGACAGCAGATAAGTTGAAGGAAAGACAATCTTTTGAGATTGAAGCTGGTGGATTTGGGGTTGGGAATCTAATTGAAGAAAGTTCAAATTTAGAACTTGAGAAGAATGAAAATCAGGACATGCGTATTGAGGTATATTCTAAGTAGAATATATTATTAAATTATGTTTTAGAATATATTTTAATTATATCCTAACTTAATATAAGAAAAATATTCTAATGTCTTTTTTTCCCAGGAGTATGAAGAAAAGTATGAAAAAATTTTCAACAATGTCTCAACTGAAAAGAATGATATGGAAGATATTATTTTTCATTGTCTATCGAAGTTCCCTGAAGACAATAAAACGAAGGAGATGATAAGAAAGTTTAGAGACATATTTTCAACTACACTTTTTTCTAGTCGAGAGAAATCAGAAACTATTAAGGAGAGAACTGAAGTCAAATCAGATAGAGATGAAGAGCTTAATAAAACAAACATTTCTGATTCTGATGATGATAAAGATGAAGGAATGAATACAAAGTTGGTTGCATTTTTAGCTGTTAAACCATTACAACAGAAGTTTCCAGAGAATGAAGAAACACAAGAAGAAGATCAAGATATGAATGTTGATGACCGAACAAATTTGGGTTTTGAGAATAATATTGGCGAGGAAACGATTAGACATCCGCATAATCCAGAAAGACAAATAGAATTTGAAGGCATAAATGTTGATGACAAAATAAATTTGGCTTCAAAGGTGAATAATATAGACGAGACTATTGAAAAAAAGAATTTAGAAGACAATGTTGAGAGCAAAAATCTTGTTAAAGGTGGTGAAATTATTGGTGTGGAGAATATTAGGGAGGGGAATATTGTAGAGAAGGTGGTTGGAGACAACATAGGTGAGAGCTCAATTGTTACACCAAAACACAATCCAAAAGGTATATCTATTGATTTTTCCCCTTGGTCTGATTCATTCATAGAAAAAATGGATGAGGATTTGCTTAGAATATTCTCAAACAGAAATCCAGATTCAAATACAATTCAAAATCCAGTTGTCAGATCTCCTGTTCCAAAAAAGCTAACATTTGAAAATTCAGAATTTCCCTCCTTTGATCTTCAAATAACCCAACTAATAAACAATGCAGAAACTGGTGATAATTCTGAGGGTAGTGATGAAGATGGAGAATTAGAAGGGAATGAAGAGCATATTTTAGATGAGAAAGGGAAAAAGGGTCAGAATGTGAATGCAAGAGGGAAAAGGAAGGTGACTAATCCAGATATTTTTAGATCACCTTTTGTGAATAGGGTAATTGACTTAAGTGAAAAAGTCAGTACTGAGCAAGAGATAATGGCGCAAATCATGTTTAGATGCGTTGCAGACAAAGATCCAATGTAAGTAAATTCATAATTGTGTAATATTCCTATTGGAATATTTTAACTACAATTCAATATTTTTGTTTTGAAGGGAAATGCTGTTTGAAACTGAGTCTGGAGACATAATGGATAGGGTGCATTTTGAGGGTATGCGTCCAAATCATAAGATACATCCTTTCGTTATTGATTGTTGGGCTGTTGTTCTTAATTTTGAAGAAGAAAACCTGAGAAACAAAAAATCACCACCACGTGTCTTCTTCAACACTCAAATTATGGTACTTAATTTTTAAATTTATTTTCTATATTCTAATTATAATTTAAAACAATGTATTATAATATTTCTATTGTTCTATATGTACAGACAGAAAAATTACTGGATTCTTCAATACCTTTTGTTGAAAGATCCCGACTTTTTGATGAGGCTGTAAACAATTACTTATATGACATCAAAAGAAAAGTGGATTTCAATTCTATTAATCTGGTATGTATTTTTGATTACAATATAACATATTCATATTAAAATTTATAAAAATTCATTTGTATTTATGTTTGAACTACAGGTGTTTTTTCCAATACACAACCGTGGTCATTTTTATTGTATTCTTTTCAACCTTACAAATCCAGAACATATAATCATTGACAACATAAGATACACCAAAAAAGTAGAAGATGTCTATGGAGAGATTCCTAAACTTGTGGTAAATGTTTCTTCCATAAATCTAAAAACTTTATTTTAATCATAATTGTTTACTTTAAAAAACCACTCTGTATTAGTAAATAAATTCTGATTAGAATATAAAATATAATATTTATATTCTTATAAGATTTATTTACTTAATATAGTTATCATTTTAGAAAAATAATGGTATTTTATTAATATGCATTGCAGCAAATGTACTTTTCAAAGTTTTTGGACAACAATCGGCGGGATAAGGTTTCTTTGTTTAAATCTATGAAGCCAAAGAAAATGAAAATGGCATGGCAAACAAAAACTAAGACAAATGATGATGGTATATTTTTGATGAGGCATATGGAAAAATACATGGGTGAGAAAGAAGAAAAATGGGATGTGGAACTGGGAGAAGAAAGTGTTAGGACATCTAAAAAAATTGCAAAGTTGCGTACATTTTATGTTTCTAAGCTAGCAAACCATCAAATCAACAAGCAGAGAAAATTGAATGTTACAGAAGCATTGGAATTTTCAAAACTTGATAAGAAAACTAGGTGTATGTTGGTGAAAGAAGGCAGTGAAGCAAGAGACAATTTGGAAATGAAGAAAGTTTGAAAAGTTTTTATATTGGCTTATTACATACATACATTTTATTTTCTATTTTTTTTTAAATGCTTATGTTTGAGGATATACTTAAACCATTGATATTTTGCTAAATGATATGCTTAAACCAGTTAGTTGGTATCTTGATAAAATATTTACTGCTTAATAGTAAATGATATATTGCGTTTAAACTTTTTGTTTGATGATGCCTATTTATTTGATTAAAAAATTGTTTGGTAAAATAATAAATGATTAAAACACATAATGTTAATATTGTATTAAGCTTATTTTAATTTGTTTTATGTGAATTATTCTGATTATTCTGGTTTCATTAAAATACTTAATAATAAAACGTTTTAATATAATATGTAATTTTGTTTTACAATATTTTAATAAAAATAATAAATGAAATTAGATTTAGTATCATGTTACAATAATAAAAAATTACGATAATAAAAATTTTAGTATACTTTATAAAAAAAAATACATTGTCTCTATTAGTATAAGTAAAATTTTAGAATAAATGAAAATATTTATTTTAGAATATTTGTAATTAACTAATTTTATTTTACAATTAAAATAATATTTGAATCAAACTGTAAGTTTTTAAATTAAAAGGGACTAAAATACTAGGACGTATTTGAACCAAACTGTAAGTTTTTAAATTAAAAGGGACTAAAAATACTAGGACTTATTTTCCAGGGACGAAAAAGGGACAAACGTGATAACTTTGAGATTTTATACTTATGCACGATGGAAGAACATTAAAATGAAAAAACTCAATTTCTTCATCTGTGTTCTCAAAAACCGTCTTCCAAAACTTCTTATCATTTTCGGTTTTAAACACTCCATCAAAACCCTAACTTCTTGTGCTCTTGAACTCGTCATCTTCGATTTCTCCCTGTATCAATTTCAATTTTCGATGTTGTGAATCCGATTTTCACTTGATAACATCGATAAAACCCTAAAACTTAATTTCATTCTTATCGAGTATTTCTTATCAACGAAAATGGCTACATCAACGCGTGCTTCAGAATCTACACCATCAGATCACCTAAATGCCATTATTACCAAAACTTCTCAAGAAATTCCAGGTATATCTTTATATCCTTGAGTTAGTTTGAAAACGGCGATATATCTTTGAGAATTGACCTTTTATTGTTCCTCCAGTCTCCATATCTACATACTAATAATTAGAGCATCGGGCTCTTGTTTCTTACTGAATATGGGTGTTTTTGTGTTGTTTGAGTATGTATTTATAACAAAAATATGCCCCTACTTATATTACATTTAATACATTCTGATGTGGGATTCTTTGGATTAATGATAAATAAAGCTTTAGCCTTTCATCTATTTGCAGGGGCATTCAGTTTTGATTTCAACCAAACACATTTATTTATTACTTTTGAGATTTTGTGTGTATGTGAAAAAGGAAATATACACAAGTGCTTTCAAGGCAGATATGAAAAGAAACATTCTCATGGTATTGGTCCTGGTGGTCTTGGTCTGAATAAGAATAATAAAGTTTTTCCATTAAACAATTGCATATTATGTCCTGTAATAATTCAGAACTTGATCTGAATTAGTATATAACTCATCACATAAACAAAAACAAAATTGTGTAATTAACAATCACGTTATTATATGTGTTTTCTGCATTTTCTGATAAAATAGAGAGTTATCATTCCACTTTTGACATCTTACTATGTGATTCAACTTCTAACTGTTCTTTTACACAAAACTTTAATCATTATATAAACTTTATGCATGGTTAAGTCAAGCATCACTAGGGTAAGTGGATGGAAAAAATACTATGTACAGGGACATATTCATCAATTTGCTTCTGTTTTTAATGTGTATGTATGTAACTGTGTTTATAGAAAATTCGAGTAATTTTAATCTCATAAAGAAACAGTGCAGGGGCATATTGGTCAATTTGCTTTAAATTTATTATGTGTATCTTTATATGTTGTTTTCTTTGTGTGTATGTATTATGATGAGTTAGAATATAATTTTGAAATAAATGTAAGTGTTTTTCTATTACAGATTACATTTAAATTGTATTTAACATTAATTATTTTCATGCAGTAATATATAACAAGAATGACAAAATCAAAAATAAAAATGATGACACTGGGTAGAAGTAGTGAGGTTGAAACTTCAACAGGCAAACAGTTGGTTCAAAAAAGAAAATCATCGAAGTCGATCAATCAATTAACAACTACATCATCAAAAGAAAAACAAAAAAAAGGTATATCATCAATTATTCTATTCTAATAAAAATATTTACCTCATTTATTTCTGTTATTCTATGTATTATAATAAAATATTCTATATTCTATTATTGTTTTTCTATATTCTATTAATTTTATTCTAATATAATATTTTCAATTGTTAATCTAATTTGTTTCTGTTATTCTATATACTTTAATAAACTATTCTATGTATTATAATAAAATATAAAAGAATAAATGATATATTGTGTATTCAATATTTTCTAATAAAATATTTATCTCATTTGTTTATGTTATTCTATGTATTACAAATAAAATATTCTATATTCTATTAATGTAGAAGATTCTATTATTGTTTTTCTATATTCTATTAATATTCTATATTTTTAAATGTTACTCTAGATATTTGGATATGATAAATCAATTATTATTTCCTAATTTGATTATGAAAATGACAATAAACAGCAAGAAGGTTGTATATGGATAAAACTCATGAAAAAACTTCAATAGCCGAACGACTAATTGAAAGAAGAAAATCATTGAAGCTTATTGATGAATCAGCCAGTACAACACCAAAAGCCAAAGAAAAAAAAGGTATATCATCAATTATTGTATTTGTACTATAATATCTTGTGTATTAATGTTATTCTAATAGCAAGAATGTCATATATAGATAAAATTCATATTTGTTATTATTGATTATGCATTTACAATTAGAGTTAGCATAAGCATTTTACATCATTATGATTTTATACTTTACAATTCCAATATTATGGAACAATATTATGTTTGACATCAATTGCTTATGGATCATAACTGAAAATTCTTGGTATTTTGATGTGAAAGTATTTTTCTATTGTTTATTGATGTGAAAGTATGTTTCTATGATATGAAATATTTATGGTTCATATTACACATTCTATATATTATTATATCATAAATCATGTTATACTTGATTTTTTTGTTGTTTTACTTGGCTGATATAGGATTTTGCAACATTTGAGTTTAAATTTTTATAAATAATATATTTTGAATAAATATCTACATTTTACTTAGATGATATAGTATTTTTGGATTAAATTTCATAGAATATTCTGATATAATAAGTGTATATGTATAATATTCTGTTTGGAATATTACTTTGTAGTGACAAAGATTAAAGAAGGAAAACGGAAGACGAATAGTGGGGACAATCGTGCAGCACTAAAGAAACAAAAAACCGTGAAAGAGCAAAAGACTGTGAAAGATATATTGAAGGAGTTGCCTTCAATAAACACTAGATCAACACCTGGATTGATGACATATGCTGTAAGTTCTTTGACATCAGAACAAAAAGATTGGGTGAAACGGATGGGATTTAAAGCCTTTTTGAAGATCAACATTAAGAGTATTCCCTTAAAACTTTGCCATTTTGTGCTTAAGCATTACGATGAAGGCACAAACAGTATTCTGATTAAAGGAAAAAGAATAAAGATCACAAAGGAAAAAATTCATAAAGTGTTTGGTTTACCCAAAACTGGAAAAAGCTTATTTGATTTGGACAAGGTTAGTGAAAATCATCAAGTGTTTGATGGATGGATGAAGGAACTTGAGAATGGAAAGGCAAATGCAACAAATTACAAGAAGATTATTCAAAAATCCGAACAAGTGGATATGAATTTCAAGCTGGGTTTCATAGCTTTATTCGTTAATACGTTTGCAGAATCCATTCCTATGGGGACAAACAACTTAGTTCCAGTTAGAGCACTTGTTGAAGTAGATGACATTTCTAAAATCGATTGGTGTGCATATTTGTTGTACTGTGTGAAAAATTAAAAGGGAGATGGCATCCAGACGACCCCAAGTGTTATTATAAAGGCCCGACGTTGTTGCTATTGGTATGTTTTTTCATATACTTACTTTTTTTCTTAAAAATGCATATCTAATATGATGTTGAAATAATGCAGCTAATATACTGTGATGAAATTGAATGCAAGCTCCAAAAAATAGAACGTAAAACACCATTAGTTACGATGTGGACAGCAGATAAGTTGAAGGAAAGACAATCTTTTGAGATTGAAGCTGGTGGATTTGGGTTGGGAATCTAATTGAACGAAGTTCAAATTAGAACTTCAAATTTAGAACTTGAGAATAATGAAAATCAGGACACGCGTATTGAGGTATATTCTAAGTACAATATATTATTAAATTATGTTTTAGAATATATTTTAATTATATCGTAACTTATTATAAGAAAATATTCTAATGTCTTTTTATATTAGGTTAAAGTATGATTTTATAAAAATCTGGATATTCTTATATTACATGCTTATGGTTCATAGTAAATATTCTAGATATTCTGAGATGATAAATATTACATGCTC